AGTCTCATAAAGTACTACTGTTCTGGCTTCTCTTTTGAAACCTAAGCCTCATTAGATATACTTAGAATTCAATAATAAATATAATCATTTGGGCTAGGATTATAATTGATACTACTCATACACATACTCAAAGTTTTTGTTTTATTAAAGAGAAAGAGTATTAATATTCTTACCCAAATCATTTTTCATTTTTGTTTTCTACCTGAAAATTTTGTTTTAAAAAATAATGTTATCTTTCTTTCAATAATGATTATCTTCACTTTAATCATTCTTTAATTTTTTGTTCATGATAATCTTGTTTTTTTGAACTTCTGTCTCAACTAATAATTTAAAGTTTCAATTGATTTGTACAATAACATTTCAACTCTAGAGCATTCACATTTCATTCCCTTTATTCCAGTTTACTTACAAGAACCAGTTACTAAAATTTTATTTATGACATAGCCATATTTGTTGTTGGTTCTATTGAATGTTATGTAACAATATAGTAAACAGAATTTTTTCTGTGGTTCCACACAAGAGCAAAGGGTACAGGTTCTCCTCATTTTAAAGAAAGTAAAAATGGAAGTTGAATAAAATTGGTGCTTATTAATGCCATTTGAACCAGCATTACCATCTTAACTACCACTCTGTTCTCCCCAAATGTTCTCCTTCTCCATCGGGAAGGAGAAGGACCAGAGGGAGAGAGGATTTGAAGAAATCATTGTAGTGAAGAGATAGCACCTATTGGGGAGGAAAGTGGGTTGGTGACCCCTTTTTGAGAGTCCTTCCTCACACCAAGCAGACGAGGCAGAGTTCCATGAGAATTTTGCAAGGATCACAGACACCTCTACTACATTTTGTATTGGAATTTCTGCTTTGGTATGAACAGCTGATCTGTTTTTTGTCCCTATTTGAGCAGAGGGATAAATAATTGAGAAAAGATGTCAGGATAGAGAGAGAGGATATCACCCCAAGAGAAGGGCCTTAATATAAAGGGACAATGGCAGTTTAAGGGTTTAGAAGAGCAGGAAGCTAAAGGGGCTGGTGCAGTTGGGAGGTTCTTCTGGAAAGCCTCCCTTGAAAGAGCAGACATTTCTCAGCAGGAGAAACTTGGCATGCAAGCGCCTCCGAGGCCAATAAGCAGAGCCATAGAAGTGACAGTGCAGGGAGGACTTGAGCAAGGACTGGCTGGAGAGGAGACTTTTATGTCACTGCCAGGAGGGGGTGTGGAGGAGGACAGAGGAGGAGCTGGCCAGGCCCCTCTGTCTTCCAGGCACCTGGGCTCTGGTGCTGGCCGGTGTCGATGAGGACGGTGAAGCGGAGAGGAGTGTGAACTAGAATACTCAAAATCTACTCAAGGTTATTAAGGGGCAGAAAAGGGAGCTCTGACAGGGCATGTTTGAAGGAAATAATAACAAGGAAAATAAAGCCATTTTGTATTTGTAACCTATCGGTTCTGACCAATAACCCAGTTACCCTCAGAGCAGTGATGGCTTTACTGTCTTTAAAACCTGGCCCGCGATAAAATATGTATCATAAAATATGACAAAAATAGAAAATGAGGGCGAGCCAGGGAAAATACTCTGAGATCAGAAAAAGACAGAAATAGTGTATCAAGTTGTTTGCTTTTTCAGAATCTATAACCATATTTTAGTGTTTGGGTGGTGTAGGTATAAGGGGCAAAGAATCTCACATACATCATTCTTATAACTTTGAATTTCAGTTACACTAAATCTTAAGATCACCTTGCTTGTCTCTGAGGAACATACATCTTTTACATGAGAGGAAAACTAAGCACATGCAATCACGTTTTGTATATAAGTCCCATATATTTGACTATGTCATTATTGAAAATTCTTAATGTCAGTGTCATCAGACAGGGCAAGTAAACTTTTACAGATTATAGAAATGCATGATTAACGGTTTTTAGCTAGAGACTGAATGGTAGTCTTCCTTAACTTCAATTTTCTCACTTGCATTCATATACCCACTTCTGTCTGGGTGCTGCAAGCCTCTGTCTTGGTTAATTCTCACCCCACCAGCATCATGCCATAGAATTAACAGCTGGCCTTCATGGTGCTTCGGGCTACACTCCTTAGCTTCATCATATCGAAAGTGTTTGTTCTGCTGTCAGCAGTGCGGACCTGCTTACATTTGTGGAGGCAGGTGTCTAGCTAAGACTCTCCCAATGCTCCTCCACATCCGCTTGTAGTGCCAGATATAGGATATCCCTTTAGTGCCCTCCCCCTACATTAAAATATGATTATAGATTCTAAGTAATCATAGAAGGGGATGCACTCTCTGAATCTTCATGAGCTCATGGTCATTTCCTTTGGCTCAGAACCGTTACATATTTTATTATATTTTATGAGTTTTTGTAAATATATGTTTCAATACCTTATTATAATACATGCTTTTTGAGGATACTAGGGCTATATCAACATTGTCTTTTTATTCCACTGTTAAGTCAGAGAAACAGCATGATTCTACAAAAATCAAAGACAAGAAATGAATCAATTACTTTCTGTTTCTCTCTAACTCCCCTGACCAAATATTGAAACTTTTCTTATATGTTGAATCTTATACACATACATACATATATATATTTGTGGGCATAGTACATATATACTGGCTTATATCACTAAATATATTGGCTTAAACCAAAGACCTTGAAATTATACATTTAATAACTATGGGCGTATCTTGCTCTGAAGTGGCCTACTTTTAATTCTTATTTATTCATGCTAATAGAGGAGACGGGTATTATAAATAATGCAGGAATCACTTACAGCTGACTTGGTTAAATACTGTATATTTTTCATCAGACTTAGTTTCTTAATTGTTTGCTCTATTTATTACCAAAATGAGCACACATCATGACTGTTTAACAAATGATGATTGGTGGAGATGGTTAGGAGAATTTATGTAGTGGGGAAATTCAATCTAGTGTAATAAACTTGCTATGGAAAATTCACATATACATGATTGATATTTACCCCTCCACAAGGGCCTGATATCTTGTATTGCAAAATAGGTGTGAAAACAGATAGTATTTTGTCTACAATCTGTTTTCCAGAATGATTAACCAGAATCTTAGCTTAATATTTTAGCTCTTGATAATGTGAATAAATAGAATTATAGTGCTTCTTTATTGGTACAAGTGAAATTGAAATATATTTGGGAAAATGAATTTTCCCATATATTAACTGGCAATCAGGATTCAGTTAAAAAAAAAAAGGAAACTGGTTCAAGTGAACAGAAAAACAAAAGTAGATAATAGTTAAAACAGAATTTAAACTGAACCCAAAGTAATGAAAATGAATATTATTCTCTACTCCACATATTAGTTAATTATCCTCAAATAAGAAATCTATTATGAAGATATAACCCTTGCATTTGCGGGATATTTTAAATGAAATATAACAAATAGAGAAAATTATCTATTATACATTTCCAGTGCTGTTCTCATATTCAAATAACATTTATTCCAAAGTATTATTTCTATATCCAGATAGTAAGTGATTGTGCCTCAGTCCTTGTTTTAATTGATAACATAAAATGTTAACATGTCGTACAATATTTTGCATATATTTTGATAAAGGCAATATAATGTGGAAAAATTTATATTTTTTCACTGAATACTCTCTTGACATTATACATTTTAAAAATTCATATATTTATAGTTTTTGTACATTAGACTAAAACCTTGATATAAGTGTCAAAAAATTCATGAATAAAAAAAATTCATGAATAAAGAAATAAGGTATATAACTTTGTGAATGTGAAAGTTAACATTTCTATCACAGCAAGCTGGAAGAATTTTTTATGTTAGTCATTTCTGTGTAAAGCTATAAACTTTTTTTTAATGCCAAAAACTGTCATGGTTTCTTATAAAATAATAAAGATATCAATTTTAATTGATCCTTTTCATTGTTTAATAAAATTGCTTTGTTTGATTGCTGAAGAATTTGAATTGAGTTTTCATTATCCACTTCTGAACAATTTACTCCAAGATCCAGACAGTATTGAGCTAATGAGTTTGAATTTATATTGAACCTTAACTGTCTTCATGAAGTAAATGGAAAAAAATCATGGCAGTAACTAAGTGTTCTTCATTAAAAACTGTGTCGTAGAGATTTTACAATGAGGTCGTTAATAGAGCTAAAGCATTGAAATTGGAGTTTTACCAACTTTGCTGCTTCTAAGCATATTATATAAAAATACAATTTCTTTTTTTAAGAAAGGAAATCTTATAAGTTCACAAGGATATTACAAAAATTTTAAGTGGATAGTTCATATATTTGACAGATTCAGTTAAGCAATAAATTAGTGTTAAAATAATTTAATTTGGGAACATCAAAATTGAAATGACATGGCCACCAGTATTGAAGTACACACCCTTGAATGTACTGTTTTGATTTTGGCACTGATATTACCACAGTCAGTTTCTCTGTAGTTGAAAACAAATGATGCATTTATTAATTCACACACATTTAATTTATTTCCTTGACTTTTTTTTTTTTTTTGTAAAATGATCTTTTGGGTTCTATTATATTTAACCAGTTTGGGCATTTAATGGTTCCATGTTCGGGATTTGCTGTGGAATCAAGTGAGGTACTAATTCTGAATGTGACTAGGATACTGTTTAATATAAGGATACCTTTGCCTTCTAAAACTATCAGTGTGCGTCATTTCAAGGAAGTAATTAATTCTCTAGGTATATAATGGAGCCCATTTTATATTAAGATGGTTAGTCAAACAGGATTAGATTTTGCAAATAGGCTAACTGCTGTAGAAATGTTGTTTTTCAAATATTTGAGAACCTCTCTAAGAAATAGAAAAAAAAACACACACAAAAAATAGGGTTTAGGGGAAATTTACTGACTTCAGCTTATTTCCCAAGAAATTACTTGGCCAATCTCCAAATGTAATATGCTTTTAAAAACCTCGTTTCAAGTTAGTCATTAGAAGCTTTGGAATAAGATTGTATTCCAATAATTTATATTCATTCCCCACAGGCAGCAGTGATGGTTCTTGGGATAAGGAAACACTGTTCTCTTCCCCACCCCAGGGATCGCAGGCCTCTGTTCCCCACCCCTGCCTGCCTGGAGTGCGTAGCCTTCCAGTTAGTCATCCTCTCCACCAGCTTCAGCAGAGCCACCTCCTGCCAAATGGTACGATGGCATTTTTGGCACTAAAAATGGTAGTTGCAAAGAAAAAAAATTGTCTAATTATAGGACAGAATGAAGACCTACTACATTAGATAACTAATTGTGATCAGTTAAAGAAAACCCTAGTATTTTAAATGAGAATCAGGCTGATCAGAAGAATAATATAGCAAACAATTGACCATTTGTATTAAACACATGAAGAGTGGGGATGTGATTAAACGTGGCACCAAACTAGTTAGCTGTAAGCTTAATTTCCCTGTGCAGCGAGTAGGTATTGTTGCATACAAAGAGGACAAATATTTCTTGTTTGACTGCCATTATTAGGACATCTTTGAATGGTTCAATTTTCAATGATGTATGTTCTTAACCATTTTAATGAATGGGATATACCATGTTTCATAGTTTTATTAGAGCAGGGCAATGATGATATATGTGATTTTTTATAGGACTGGAACTTCCTTTTATGATGATGCCCCACCCTCTAATTCCCGTCAGCCTACCTCCAGCATCTGTCACCATGGCAATGAGCCAGATGAACCATCTCAGCACCATTGCAAATATGGCGGCAGCAGCACAAGTTCAGAGTCCCCCATCCAGAGTTGAGACATCTGTCATTAAGGTAATTTTTTCTCACAGGATTGTGTAGACTTACACAAAAACATCATCTTAAGTCACCATCTCTCAGGTTTTCTTATTCCACAAGAAATTGTAAGTACAAAAAGTGAAATGACAGTAAATAGATGATGAGAAAAGTCACTTGCAGTAGTTAGAACCAGGAGCACAATATTTAGGCAGGCTAGGCTAATTTCAAGTTCTCTATTGTATCTATTAAGAGAGATAAACAAAGGAAGTTAAATGAGATGTTTAAAATTTTGTGTGTGCATATATGTATGGTTGTGTGTATGCACACTTTCATGCATGCACGTGTGTGTGTGTGCGCGTGCATGTAGTGTTATGAATCTGAAGGTGTGGAAAACAGTGCCTGATTTGTTTTCAGAAGGCAAGAAGTATTAAATTATTGTTCTGCCCCTTTCTATCTGTGTTGCTTTGGACATGCATGTAACTCAATCTTTCTGATTCTATAGATAAAACAATGTAGGTGTAAAAACTTAATAAAATAATGAAAATTAAATAAAACTAAAATAAAGATAAAAATAAAATAAAGATTCTATAGATAAAACAATCTAGATGTAAAAACTAAATAAAATAATGAAAATTATTTTAAAAATAAAAAGTACACTGTAAGTGAAAGATAACATTATTGTTATACAAACACCACATATGTTTGTATATACACTATTGTCTCTATCTCTTCTCTGCCCCCCGGGGAGGTTGTGTGTATATTCTTCAGTGTGTGCATGTGTGTGCGTGTGTTATTTTTGTTCATATCATTTTATAATGTGTATTTAAGTAAAAGCACTTCAAATCCATTGTCAGAAAATATTAATTTTTAAACGAAGTAAAAAGTACCTCATGATACCTTATCCTTATTTGACATAATCATTACTTTTTTTCTAAGTATAATGCACTTGAATTTATAGGAGCCCCTAAAGTATGTCTTACATAAAAAGCTCTGTTACAATTCCAATTCATTGCTGGTGGGAATGCAAAATGTTAAACCCTTTTGGAAGACAGTTTTGTGGTTTCTTGTGAAACTATACATACTCTTACTATATGATTGCATGATATTTACCCAGCTCCTTAGCATTTACCCAAATGAGTTGAAAACATACCTTTACACAAAAACTGGGATATGGATATTTATAGCAGCATTTTTCATAGTTGCCAAAACTGGGTAGCAACCAAGATGTCCTTTGGATGGAAGGAGACCTGACTTTGAGTGGTAAACATGCAGTGCAACAGACAGATGATATATCATAGAATTGTCTGAAACCTATACAATCTTATTCACTAATGTCACTGTAATAAATGTAATAAAAAACTGATCTAAAAAAGTTAAAAAAATGCCCTTTGGTAGATGAATAGATAAAAATGTTATCATACATCCATATATTATAGTTTTTTTAAACATTCGTTCAGTTGAACACAAGGTGCCTGATGGTGAGCCACAGTTTAACAACAGACTAGAGGAATTGAAAATAGAGAAGTTCATTAGTTACAAGTGGCTCCTAGAGGGACCACATGTGGAGGTCAAGGCAGAGTACAGACAGAGAGCCAGGCAGGACCTGGGCAAATGCCTTTAGGGTCCGTGATGGAGTACTTCGGGGTTCCGGGGCTAGGGTCGGATTGGTCAGTTCAAATCAGGCTCTGATCTAAGAGGAGACTGTTGACCACAAGGGCTGTTGGGAAAATCATATCACAGATTTACATTTGCTTGTGACGCTGTGGCTGCTATCTAGGGCATGTATCAGCATGAGGGGGTTACTGTCAGTTTAAGGTCCCTGTAGGCCACTTGGCCAAACAAAATAAATACATAGGCAGCATTACAATGGAATCGTTTAGCTAAGTTCTCAACACCTTAAATTGTACTATTATTCAGAATGAAAAAGAAATGAGCTATCAAGCCGAGGAAATGTAAATGTATACTTCTAAGTTAAAGAAGTCATACTAAAATGGCTACATACTGTATGATTTCAAGTATATGACATTCTAGAAAAGGCAAATTTATGAAGATACTAAAAAGACCAGTGATTGCCACAGGGTATGATACTATTTATTATGAATACATGTATTATATATATATATATTTTTAAAGGGCCTTTTATATAGAATATTCAATAATATACAAATAGCATTTTTTAATAATAAGAATGCCTCTTGAAACAAAGATGTGTACTGGTCCCTTGTATTATTTTCGGAAGTACCCCAACCAGAGGAAAAATAACAGAAGATATCACAAAAGACCGAGATCAACTTCTCTAAAATCTTGACCTGAGAGAATGTTAATGAATGCTACATTGCCCTCAGCCAAGAACTGGGAAGAGAACTTTTGAAAATTTTACATCATTCTGAGTAACTTTTAGAGGGTTCCTTAGTTACCGATGAATTGTTAATCAAGGTATCACTGTATAATTTCATTTATGATCATTTTTGGTCATAGTTATTACTGAGAATTCAGCCTCCTCATCATCTCATTCATTGACATTTCCTAACAAAAGATTTGGCTGAAGGAACAAACCTAAGTGCTCCCATCATTTTACTGGATGGCAACTTAAGAAAAAATTTCAAATGTAGTATTAGTTATAGGATGTGAATATTCCCATTTTTTAAAATTTAGTAATGATTACTATAGAGGATTATCTTTATGATACTAAGTATGCAATTTCCCCTTTCAAAACTAGGAACTTCTTAGATAAGATTTAGATTCATAGGTAAAGTAAAAGTAGGAGGGATGAGCAGATTTTGTCCATTTTAAATCAAAATGGGTGACTTAGTTATGAACTGCAGATAACTTGAGCAGGAGGTGGTGGCGTACATATTCCTGGATCTAGAAGCCTCCAGTACATCAGGAGGCTTGATTTATTTAGTCTTATTTAATTTGGGTGGTATCTAATATTAATATAATACTTAGATAGTGAACTTCCCTTTAAAATCTTCGAAGAAAGCTGTTGGATTTCCTCTGAAAGGTGTCTTTAGAAAACAATCTAGGTTATTGGAAAGTAAACATTCCTGTGGTTTCTTAAATTAAGGTTAGGAATGGAGATGAGAGAGTTAGGGAGAAAGGTAGGAAATATGTAAAAAATGAATAGAAAGAGTGTTTTGAAATGTGCCAACATCTCCCAAGATATAGTGATGGCCCCCTTTGTAGTCTCTTGGGCAGATATTTTCAGTAACTTAACTACAGATGAATTAAAAGAAATCCTGGACTTTTGAATGCTGTGATGGTATAAATGGTGATAGTAACTAAATAGGAAACAATAGCTGTGATTGAGAATGATTAGGGAAAGTAAAGGTGAGAGTTAAAATTGCCAACATGAAAGTGAAGTTCAATTGGCCATTGTGGAAATTCTGAGAGACCTATTTGTACTTTTCCTTTGAGGCTGCTCATTGTCTATGTAATTTCAAATTTGATGGTGGCAGGTAAAGATTTTAAAAGAAAACTGATATTTTTAAAAAAACTTTATGAAGTTTTTCAAGAAATGCATGATTCAGTTCTAATATTTTTTGGTAAATATTCCTACATTTAATTTCATTTCATTGTAGTATTTTCTTTACAACTTATTCCCTGTATACCCTCTTTCACGTCCACCTACCGACCCCACCCCTGCAATCATCACATGATTCTGTTTCCATGAGTTTTTTTTTCTTTTTTTCTTTGCTGTATCCCTCCACCCCACCAACGCTCCCTCTCAGACCCCAGAGCTGTCAGCCTACTCTCTATCTGTGTGTCTGTCTCTATTTCTCTTGTTAGTTCAGTTTGCTCATTAGATTCCACATATGAGTGAAATCGTATGGTACTTGTTTTTCTCTGACTGACTTATTTCAATTAACAGGATGCTTTAAACCAGAGGAAAATTATGGACCTGGCTTCAGAGAATAAGGGTAGCAAATAGATTTTCTCTTTAATTCTAAATATTGGAGAAATCAGATTAATAAATCAACCTATCTAAATTTATATATTGTAAAATTCATGGCCCTAGCAATATTTAGTAAATGCATATTATATATATTAGTGAAACTTAATTTGGGGGAGCTTTTTATTCTCTGCAAAGAAAATGGTTGACTCCTATATTACATTAAATAGTAGGGGGCCCAACTGAGTAATTAGACCAGTGCCTGCTAATTTGGTTGCCTGAAAAGATCTAAAATATGAGGGCTGAATGAAAGTGAAATGTTAAATACTTAAGAAGGCTTCCCCATCTGAAACAATGTTAAAACAATAAGAGAAATTGCATGTGAGAGGAAAATATAAACTTGAAGGATCTTTCATGTGCTGGAATATACCATTTACATTTTTTGAATAATGACAAGAGTTAAAATTAAAATTCAACATAAATGAGAATGTTAATTGGAATTTGTAGGACAGAAGAGAAACAGAAACATAGCTCTCAGAGTTACATATTTTGAAATATCATTTGTATTCCATGTTTATATGACATAAAGGAGCTCTAATGATTTTTCTCATGAACTTATTTATGAAAATGGAAGTACCAGTACAAGCTGCAGAGCGGGGTTCAAAAGCTGCCATTCTTGGGTGAAATCCATCCTGCTGTCAATTTTTGTATGGGCTATGAGTTAAGAATATTACATTTATGAATAGTAAGGGGAAAAATTAAAAGAAGAAAAATATTTCATGACATATGAAAATTATATGATATTCAAATTTTAGTGTCCATAATTAAAAATTTTTGGAACTCCACTATACTCTTTAGTTTGCATAACTTATATGGCTTCCTCCCCATATGAAAGTGGAGTTCGATAACATATGTACTGGTTGGGTCTTTCAGAAAAATTGCTGATTCTTGTACTAGAGCTCTGATGAGCTCAAACCCATGTGAGCCTTAGGTGTGGCAGCTTAAACTCAACTCTCAAACACTATTGAGCTATAAGATTTGGCATTAAAAACAAAAAGAAAAAAGAAATTAAAAAACATCAGACAAACCCGAGTTCAGAGACATCCTACAAAACACAAGACCAGTACTCCTCAGATCGGTCAAG